AAACATTGGATGATTCACACTTCGTCTCTCAGTTGTGGAATGTTCTTGGCTCATACTCCCATGCATATATAGGTCAGACACTGTTACTCAAACCCTCTCTGTAACTTGGGTGATGAAAAGACATTTCCATGTGGCCAAGGTCCAATTCTTGTCAGGCCCATGAGACCAAGTTTCAGTTCATTAAAGCAATCTTCCAGTGTTGGACACTAGATGCCATCAGTACTGGGTGAATTGAGTGAGGACTCTGTGTGTGCCTGTGTTTAGTGACTTTACTTTGATGGATAAATGGATCTCTCCACGTACTGAACTGCAATGTCCTTTTAATATCACCACTGCTTACGTTTGTTAGGACTCGCAGAACGTTCAGTCCAACATCATCTAGAAAACTATACCATTTCCTGCCCATTATAGAAATTATCTTTTGTAGTTTATTTAATTCTGAATAATTATTTTTGGCCTACCAGCTGTTAGGAATTGTGAGAGTTAACGTTCAAAACACCTGGAGGGCCGAAGTTTGCCCATGCATGATTCAGCTGATGCTTCATGGTGATTACGGTGATTGTTGGACTGCAACTCCTAATATTCATCACAACTGGCTATTAGGAGCTGCATCTTTATGATTGTATAATTAGCATCCCACCTGTAATGTATCAACACTGGTAATGTTTCTGGCTTGGCTCATGGTTCATGCTTACAAGTATGAACTTTGAACTCTACATTATTGGTCTCTGGTCTGGAGACATACAAAGCAAATATCCTGAAAACATAAGCCATTGTCAGAGCTTTCCCTTGAGTAAAGCAATTATGCCCCTGCTTTCCGTTTAGGTTAATTTATCCCCATGAACTGAGAAGATCATTTTGCTTCCAGAAATGTTTGTGGAACAGTCCCACAGCCTTGGACAGTGGCACCCCCACTGACCTTACTCAAATATTGTCATCAATAGTAGGATGTGTTCCCAGGCATGATTTCTCAAGCCTTTAGAAAAGACATAAGAGAACTGCTTTCAGGACCACAGGAAGCATGAGGTGAGATAATTATTTTTTAAAAAATCTCTAGCACAGAAAAACATTATTCTGCTGCCACTGCACACAATGAAGGATTTTTATTTTGGCAGCATCATGGTATGTCATCAATTTTCCGGGCCCAATTCAAAGTGCAGGTTATTACCTATAAAGTCCTATGCGCTTCGGATACAATCTATCTTCAAGACCACATCTCCTTCTATGAACTGGTGCGGGCCTTCGAGATCTGCTGGGGAGTCCCTTCTCTCGGACCCACCACCATCACAAGTGTGATTGGTGGGGATGAGAGAGAGGGCCTTCTCTGTGGTGGCTCCCCGACTCTGGAACACAATCCCTAGAGAGATTAGGTAAGTCCAAACCTTCCAATCTCCAAACCTTCCATTCGAGCCTTAAAACATGGCTATTTACAAGGGCTTTTGACATGGAGGAATGTACTGTGGTCATGTGATGATGTCGACCATTGTTATTTGGCACTTTATTTCGTGTTTGAAGAAACCCAATGACGCACAGGAAAGACTGTGTTTTAGATTTTTTTTAATTTTATCTATTAATGTTCTTAATGTTTGTATTTGGTCAAATTGTGTATTGTTTTGATGATATATAATTCTGTTTTATGTGTGGCACCTTGAGTGCTTTGTTAGCCACCCTGAGTCCCTTTAGGGAGATGGTGGCAGGGCACAAATAAATAAATAAATAAATAAATAAATAAATAAATAAAGTTTATCAAATGCTTAGTTTCATCTTAGTTATTTGGATTAAAATCAGTTTTTTTTCACTTGAGGATAGAAGCAGTAAAAGTGTCTCTGAATATGGATCAGACGTATAATCATCCCATGTGGTAAAGGCATCAGAACTCTGCTGATCTAAGAAGCAAAGTGTAGACAACCCTGCTTAATATTTAATTGGGAGACTGCTAATGAATTTCAGGTACTGTTGCAGGTTATATAGGAAGTAAATGGTCAAACCACCTCTGAGTATTCCTTGGGTATGCCTTTGAAATTCATGGGGTCACTGTCAGAGATAGAAGCTGGGTCCCACACCAGGGAAAAATATCAACAGAAATTAAATAAATGGAACTGCTATCCTGTATAAGTCTAGCTAGCTTAGAACAGTTGTACGATAATCAGGAATACTAGAAGATGTGACCCAAGTATAACCATCAACTTCATTTATGTTTCATATATGCCTTATACACATTTGTACATGGTATTTTAAATAATTTTCTTCATTAAACAAGGCTTGTGTACACTGAGCCATCGGAAAGCAAAGGTGTCATTATTTCAGCTATCCGTGTGGACAATTTAAGATTTTGGAATCTTTCAGATTTCAGAATTTCAGATAATGGGTGCTCGACCTATATCAGATTGCTTCGTGAGATTTATTTAGCAACATAATGTTAACCAGTCTTAAAGGCAGGTACATACAGTGTAACAGTGGCTGCAATGAGTATCATTTGATAAACTGAGGGTGGCAATGTATATCCTCTTAACTGCAGTTGGAATGCAGATCCCCTCAGCTGTAGCCAATGCAGCCAGCAGGAAGGGGCAATGGGAGGAAGTGTCCAACCACATCTGGAGGGCAACATGTTCCCTACCCAGGATACATTGAATATTGACCATCATCAGCCTAATGACTAACACGGAACAGAAGCTCTTCAGTTGTACACCATGAGAGTTGTTTTGCTCAGAATAGCTCCATCTGTTTGTCTTAAATATATGAAGCTCTTAACTATGAGGATTAGGAGCACATCTTTTCATTACAGCTTTCTCTGCATTTGAGATAGCTGAAATTACAGATTATCGGTGCCTCCAACTGATTAAAACTCTGCTGAACTAAGGCTGCAGTGGGCTGACTTTTGAGCAGATACGGTATGTGCGAATGGTTTGGGAAAATTACTGTAACATATATCATTTGTGTCATAAAAACACACGGAAATACACTAGTTATATTTCTATAAAGAACTACTTAATTGTAGTTATAAAGATGTCTTAAAAGATCTCTGTATAACCAGATATCAATGCAGTAGATACAATAATCAATGAAGATTTTTTACAGAACAATCTGACGTGTCAGAAGTCCTACTGAGTTCAAAGTTGGTATATGATTGCAACTTGGGACTGCATATACTAGATTTGTTCTATACCAATGGTTCTCAACCTGTGGGTCCCCAGGTGTTTTGGTCTACAATTTCCAGAAATCCCAGCCAGTTTACCAGCTGTTGGGATTTCTGGGAGTTGAAGGCCAAAACATCTGAGGATCCACAGGATGAGCACCATTGTTCTATGTTCTATACAGTCAGTCTTTCATATTCTTTGGGGTAAGGGATACAGGACCCCCTTGAAAGTGAAAAACTGAACAACTTAACAACAACTTTTTCTAAACTTGAGATGCACTGGAAGCAAGCAAACTTTCTATCAGCAAGGTTTCCTAAAACCCCTCCCCTCCCCGCTGTTATAAGAGATTCAATGTGCAGATTTGATAAATGTGAATTTAATATGATGTGTGGGAACGAATGGAAGATGAATGTATGGATGGAGTTAATAATTTTGGAAACACCAGTATAATATTAAGGCTTGCAATAACTAACTACCTGCTTTCTGGACTGTGATTAAAACCTGCTAATAAGAAGTGAAAAGTAAACTCTGATAAGAACAGTGACAATGGTTTTTTCAAGTTAAGGAAATGTTTGTACCATTCCTTATGTTAAGGAAGTCAACACAAGCCTTGTGTTTATCAACACCAATCAAGAAGAATCAACATCTGGCCAGGAAACCGAGATGGAGCCAGGATGGAAGACGTCTATCATTAATTTACAACTTTGGGACTACATTAGCAGAATATTCCTATAAAAGACTCAGTCTAATAATGCTCAAAGTGTGGCAGTCCTGAGGAGTCTGTTCCACCTGCCTCTATGCTCCATGGGAAGGAGAGAGATAGTGTATTTGGAGAGTGGCAGATTTGCAGGGGAGCAGTCTGATTACTTTGGGGCTTCTTTCTCAAGGGAAGAGGAAGAAGTGCACTTCCGGAGTCTTAGATTTTGTGCAGGGAGTCAGGTTCTGCTGTATGGAAAATAGAGATCTTGTCCTTGGCATTGTGCTCAGGGAAGAAGTTTTGGCATTTTAGTTATGGAAGTTTTGGAACTATATGTTGGGAGGCTGCAGGGAAGCAGGGTCTGGCCTAACAGGTGCTTCTCCAAGGAGGGAGAAAATGATATGGTAATATTTGCATGCCTGAGGATGAATGCGTGCATATGTGGTGTGAATGCGGAGTGGAAATATAATTCCCCTTTGTTTGTTTGTTAGCCAATGTAATTGTAAATTCAATGCAGTTGCATGGGACTTGTATGTCTGTATGTCCAATGTCATTCTTTGTCTAAATGTTTTTCTGTAATCTGATATACTCTCTCACACTGGAAACTGCAATAAAAGAACTTATGCTTCAAAGTTATTGAAAATTCATTCATGACATCGCAACCTGTCGTCCCACTTTTAAGTGAATTATTTTTTGCATGACTTCTTCATAAGCAGCAGTTATTCCTTCCCATATTCAGGCTTATCTCTTTCTCTCTCTTTCACATACACACACTTTCTTTCTCTGCATCCATACAGCCATACAGAGGCAGTTCAGTCATACTCACACAGAAATCCTGTCTCTTCTTGAAGAAACAAGAAAAGGAATGAGGAGAAGGGAAAATATTATAATGTTTGGAGACAGAAAGCTCTACCTTGGAGGAAAATGGAAGACTTCTTTATTTTCAAAATGAGGATGGCATGGGGAAAAAGAGGCACAAAGAAACAAAGGTTTGAGTTGCTCTGCCTTTAATTGGAGGTAATTAGTTCACAACATAAAGGAAAGCACCAAATATGTGTCAAAGGCAGAGTGCAGAACACACTTCCAACCCCCCACCCCACAATCAGTGCTACCAAAAGGCTCACAGGCAGCCCAAGTGCGAGAAAAATGCAGAGCTTGGAAGAGAGCTTGAAGGGGAAAGCCCAGGGGCCTCTTGAGAGTCAATCAACAGAGGCTTTTTCATAGCATCCTTGGTCAGATACCAGCTTTCTTGTTGTAGGGCAAAACCTCAGCAGTGGATAGATGGATCTCAGAAATAACTATTTTGGGTCACTTCTGGATTTTTGCATTTCTCCCCTTCTCAGAGCAGCTGCTTTGTTTGAAAGCATGCATAAGTAGCCCCTTTTGCTGAAGCAGGCAGCCAAAGGAAACGAAAAGCTGCACTAAAGCCTAAATTGGGCTTTCAAAAAGGGTCCACAGCTGGCACTGAGACCCGGGGCCTTCAAACTGCCCAGTCTTAAAACCCTGCCTCTGGATCATCCAAACCTGGCACCCTGTTCTCTATAGACAACAGCTCCAGGATAGCAAATGGTGACAATGGAATATTCTAGTTACTCAGTTCCAGTTTCCACCAGTCTTTAGTTTCAGGCACCAAGAGCAAACGAGTGGACACATCCTATCTAATACTGAGTCCTAATTCTAATTTACCAACATATCTAGTATTTTTTTTCTTCTTCTTTTCCTTTTTAAACTCACTAATCCCACAAGAACACTGTAAAAACTGAAACCAGGCACACAAACTATGCTTGGTATGAGAGCTGAAGGGAATCTTTGCCTCAATCCTGCATCTCTGGAAGTAAGATCAAAGCACCAGGTTACAAACATAAGGGCTATATATATGTAATACCAGTGTAAATGATGAATGGAGTGTTGCTCAGTCCCCAAAATCCAACATTTGTTTTTCCCCATGTGGTCCATGATTTTCTACATCAAGAGGAAGAAATCTTTTCATCCTCCAGATCTTTTGGACTACAGCTGTCACAATCATTTACCACTGGCCACATCAGGTGGATTTACATGTGTTTTAATAGTATTGTGTTTTTATCAATTTATTTTATCTTTGTGATACCCCACCTCGAGCTGAGAGGAGAGGCAAAGAACACACGTCATCATTATGGAATCTATAAGTAAAAAAATTGGAAGGGCCTAAATTTATCTTCCTCTTTTCCATGATGTTAAACTGTACCGCCCAGAATCCCAGAATCCCTCAGCCTCTGGTTCTGTTGGCTTTTTGCAATGTTGGTAGGTTTTTTCAAAACACACCTAGACCTCTCAAACTGTTTTTCCTACTCTGCTACACAAGCAATGTACCAAACTCTCTTTTAAACAGTACATTAATATTCTCCCTCTTTCTTGACAAGTCTTAATCCTATGTGTCCTATTTATGTTCTAACTTCAAATTCATAACCCTTGAAAGAAAATTTCTTCATGCACACGCTGCACCCCAGTTCCTGAGGAGTCAACTATTTGTCCCCTTCCCTGCCCAGAAATCCCTGCTTCAGCTCACTGTAAAGCCAAGTCCTCATGCATCCATCGACAAGGCTCCCACTACAACTTCAGTTTTATATACCTGGCAGAAAACCCCACTGAATGCAATGGAACTTATTTTGAAGAAAACATAAAGATTGCACTGCACATCTCATAACACATCTACCTCACTTCTACTACAGACTTGCATATTCCAAGCCAAGATTCATTCTCTCTCCTTGAAAACCTTCTAGAGCAGGTGTGGGAGAAGTTTGGCCCTCCACGTGCTTTGGACTTCAACTCCCACAATTCCTAACAGCCTACCGGCTGTTAGGAATTGTGGGCGTTGAAGTCCAAAACACCCGGAGGGCTGATGCTTGCCCATACTTGTTCTAGAGGCTCAATAACTTTATCCTTTAAAACTGGAGCTTTCTATTACAACCCCGTCACTGTCCTTGCTCTCTTTCAAACAAGAGCCTTTGCTTAGAGGACTTACAGTTGCCGTCCTCTTCCAGTAGCTTGCCATTCTTCTAAATAAGCAGCAGCTATTGTTGCTACATTGCCAATTAAGCACACCCACTTCCTGTGTGTCTGTTTTGTGGCATTTGGCTGGGACCTCAGCAATTCCCAGTGTTAAATAACAGCATGTGTAAAAATGTACACTCGTCATAATAAATTAAGAGATGTAAATATGCAATCGCCCTCCCCCCTCCACCACCCCATGATAGAAATGGCTGTGAAGCAGAGGTAAGCCACCTTTGTCTGAAATTACTTCTCTTCTTGCAACAAAGGGACTGTGTGAGAAAACATTCCCAAGTTCATAGGCAGACAGAGGCCTTTCTTGTAAAGCGCAGACATTGGGAAGAGCAGGAGGTAGAGCTAGCTCATACCAAAGTCTCACCACAGGGTCTAGCATAAGGTATGAAGAAATCCCTCTAGGATAGCCTCAACCCACCTCTAAATGCCTTTGTTTTGATGGAAGTAAGTTCCTAGAAAGAAGGTTAAAAAGCAGGCTTATGTTTGTCCCTGCCACATCCTTTGAGTCTTCTTTTCCTGACATTGTGTGCCCTGTCCTTTTAGCCTCAGGCAAACAGGATCCCATTTAGGAGGAAAATGAGAATAAAGAAATTTCCATTACGCTTTTGTATACGTTGGCAACTATAAATTTTGAATAGCAGCAGCAAAATGCCTGACTGAATTAGTTGAAGGTAAAATAAGAGCACAGCTCAGCCAACTTATACCTACCCACCCTTGCAGTGTTAGATCAGAGTACGGAAAGTCATATATCCCAATCTACCACTAACTTTGGACCCTCTGTCCTGGCAGCCAAGGAAAAGGGAGGGAGAGGACAAGGTGGGCACACAGAGCTCAAAGGGAGGTGACAAAATCCGGGCACATCAGAAGACAAAGGAAAGCATGATGGGCAATTGTGAATGTGCAGTATCCAAGATGAGCAGAGCGCAGAATGGAGAGGAAACCCATTTTTCTAACTGCAGAAATGTTTCAGTCAGGCTTCCCCACTGAGATAAAAGAAAGAAGATGGAGGAGGAAGCCATGAGGAATCCTGCTGAAGTCCTGCCTGAAGGAAGGGTGGGGTGGGGACGGGAAAGGCAGCCCTGTAGAGCCTCTTCCTGCTCTCGCCGGATGATGCGGTAGCTGAGCCGGGTGCAGCCAGTCGGACAGTCCTTCTGCAGGTGCTGCTCTGCTCCTTCGTGATGGAAGACTGGGGGAGTCCTTGCCGAGGAGGAGCGCAGGATCAGTGGAAGGAGGAGGGAACGACTTGGAGGGAAAAGTTGGAAGGGGCGGCACAAGCTTCGCAGGGACTGTGGTGAAGGGGAGGGAGGGAAAGGAAGTCTCAGGAGGCATTTAAGCCTAGTGCACAGAGAGGAGAAAGACACAATTTACAAGGCCATAGTGAGGATGCACAATAATCTTGAGGAAGTGTGAGGGGAGATACAGGCATTGGTACAGGGATGAGGAATACACAAACGGCAAAGTGATGAAAAGTCACAGAGCCATTCCTTGACAGGGGCAGGACTTCTTTCCTTAATGAGGGAAATAAGGTTCACTTCAGTCATGCTTTGGGAGTGGGCAGACACACCACAAACTGGGCCACCAGGAAATCTTGGATAAAGTATGGGCCCCTCTATTGTTATGCTGCTGCCAGTTCAATATGGAAAAGGGGGGGGGGGGAGACTCACAAAAAGAAAAGAAAAGGAACAGCATGTATAAAAACTTAAAATCTTTCTTTTAAACGATTTTAAGTTACTCCCGAGTTCCTTTTCAGAACCAATTTATGGGTCCAAACCCAAAAAAATTGGTGCTGCAGTGGCACAATTGGTTAAATCATTGTGCCAGCTGAACTGCTGACCTGAACGTTGGCAATGAGTTCCCATCTGTCCAGCTTCTCATCCGGGGACACGATATAAGCCTCCCACAGGATGGTAAAACATCCATGCCTCTCCTGAACAATGTCCTTACAGATGGCCAATTCTCTCACACCAGAAGCAACTTGCAGTTTCTCTAGTCACTTCTGACATGATAAAAAAATCTTCAAAATTTAAACTCACAAATGTGGAGGTCTGATTATATATGGAAGGATATGGTGTTTCATTTTACAGATTTTTAGTGAATCTTATACAGGCATACTAACCAGCAAACCCTAAAGAGTTCAAAGACACTTAATCCCAAGTAAGTCTGTTTAGGAATGCTGCAGTCAACACTATGTGTGTGAAGCAAAGAGTAAAGGCACAGGGGGCTCACTACCATTCTCACGTTCTTGTAAAGAAAATTATAATCCTGTACAGTTCGGCATGAAGGAAATATGGCTGAGATGGATCCCATTAGACATGCTATTCATAAAGGGGAATGATAATCGCATTACACATCCATGTGGGCTAGGAAAGGGAAGCTGGGGCAGGAATTACATTTTAATAATCCCTTTTCTACCCAGTAGTACCGTAAATAATGCTTTCAGTGTTTAATTCAACATCTAATCCTCACACAGAAAAGTATCTGATGAGCTACTCACAAAGTTTTTGATCCATGTGGGAGGATTACTTGTTCAAGAACATGAGAAGGGCTGTCTGTGTCAGTCATGCCTACATCTTCATAATATAGTAAGTGCTCAAGTAATTTACTGCAAGGGTGAGGAACTATTTTTAAGTGAGGGGCTGGGATGCCCCCTCCTTGCGTGATATATCTGTAGATCCCTAAGCAGCCTTCACTTCTCCAAGAAAAGATGGCAAAGATATTCTTCAAGGGAGCTTAGAGGAAGGATTGGGCCTGGCCGGTAACTCTCTTTGTGCAGAATGGGAAATCTCTGTGGAGCGGCCTCTGCTTGGAGACGGGAGGGTCTCTTCCCATCTCACAAGATTCTAGACTGGCTCCTTCCACCTTAATTGATTCACTAATTTTAGAGCAAATCAGAAGCTCACGGCATCTTTGGCAAGAGTCCAGCAAGAGCCTTTGTATACATGTTTACCGATTTTTTAAATTCAATTTTTAAAAACTTTCTTGCTGCTTTTTAGGTTCTTTCATCACTACTTTCTACTTTCATGTTCTTCTCTTGGGGGTGTTTAAAATTTGCCATTTGTTTAAAAGGCTCATAACCTTGTTATATTTTATGTATTTAAAATGTTGAAAACTACCAGAGAATTTTGGCTGTTGAGCATTATAAAATTGCAATTAACACAGAAAATGGATATATATTTATTATTTATTTCTATTTATTTCTAATATTTCTACCCCACCCTTTTCAACCCCCAAGGGGGGGGGGAATCAGAGCAGCTTAGACTGGCAGCTACTACTGGGATGGAGGAGGTGTGGCCTTCCTGATGTTATTGAACTACAACTTCCACCAACCCTGGCCATAACAGTTGGGGATTCTAGGAATTATATTCCAAAAAGATATGTTTTCCAAGCTCTACTTTGACCGTTCAGAAAACATCCAGAAAAGGAAGGGTTTCTGATGGCAGAAGAAACTGGTTCCTGAAATAAAAGGTTCTTTGATAGGGCAAAATACATGGTTCAGTCTGGGCTCCAAAATATGGGGGCCGGAAGTCCCCTGGGATGGGGAAGACTCAGAACAAACCCACCACAATGAGGTTTGCAACTGACACCACCCTCAGGATTAAGAATAAGATGGTGTTTCAGAAGCAGAAGGAATGGACTGGAAGTGTCATCACCATGTCAGATATAAAATATTTCTTTCTGTGTATGCCCTAGGTAAAATTCTGAGAAACTGTTCCCAGATTTTACAGTTGCAGAGGGCATGTATTGTCTAGTAGTTAGCATATCAGTTGTATACCTCTCCTTATTTTTCCCAGCGTAGTTTTGCAACTGTTTTTTTTTCAAAATGTTAATATTTTTAATGAAAAAGATCTAAATATGTGTATGCATTTGAGTATTTTTAAATTAAGCACTATGTCTGAAGCTTGAGGAGAGGAGAGAGTCTTACATCTCATTGCTTAACTATGTGCACCTGAAATGCAAATTGGGAACCTGAAATTATAGAATAGATGGAAGGCCTATTGTGATTGCTATTATTATGCCTGATTTTATTACGAGATGGAATATTCATTCTTTGAAGAAGCAGAAGCAGAACTCAGGAATCTGGGAGAGTTGCAAACATATTCAGAACATGGAAAAGTTACTTTTTTGTACTCTCAGTATCCCCAGCCAGCATGGGCATGCTGGGTTCCATAGTACCCAAACCTAATGTTTCCACACTCTGCTTTTATTTCCCAGTCTCCCAGGGAAACCCATGTTCTTTTACAGATTTCTTTACTTGCTGCCTGTTAGGTACAATCCACAATCAAGATTGCAAGACCCCTTTGGTGCTGATTGGCTGTCATGGCACTTTGCTTGTGATAAATGGGAAATGGGACAAGCACATGCAGGCAAGCAAATGACAGAGCAGAGAGTGTGAAGCATTAGTGAGCAATGGAGTGAGTGCATGTTAATGTGACAAAGTATAGAAAAAAGGTGGTTTGTATCTCCACATCCTGAGTCTAGATCAGGTTTCCTGTTGCTATCTTACAAAGAATCCTGAGAGAAACAAAGGGGTTTATGGCAATGCTTCACATCCTGATAATGCTTTCTTCTCTAACTTAAGAATTACGTACACTTTGTCCAAAACCTAAGCCAGATGCTCACTCTATGAGCTAAGAAGAATAGAAGTAATAGTCAGAGGTAGAAACAACCTGAATTAACAAACAGGAGAAGAATTCCAATACAATCTGATTTCATCTAGTACAAGTTACTCATTACTTGCATGTAGTCCTGTCTCGTCACCGGAGGGATTATTTTTCAAGGACTGAAATTTCTTGGGAACGTTTCCGACCAATGAAATGTTACTATGCTCCACCCATCTCCAAGACCCCAATCATGCCCCAGAGTAATATGTTGTTACATATCACACTAAGAAAGGACCAGTCAATGGTCCAGACACAGGGAGAAGGGCAGAACATATCTTTGCCAACTTGAATATACACTTTTCCACCCAAAAATGCAGGAGAGAGAGTGCATGAGTATGCATCTTCTTGCCTCTTGAACAAATTCAGGCATTTAAACAGCCACTCCACCGCCTCTAGACACATACTTCACGCACACACCAACACATGCACACACCAACACCCACAACCTGCCATTTTCCTAAGAATGCCAGCATGCCTGTTACAGAAGAATCATAGAATCCTAGAGTTGGAAGAGACCTGGTGGGCCATCCTGTCCAGCCCCCTGCCAAGAAGCAGGAAAATCGTATTCAAAACACCCCCGACAGATGGCCTTCCAGACTCCGTTTAAAAGCCTTCAAAGAAGGTGCCTCCACCACACTCCGGGGCAGAGAGTTCCACTGCTGAACAGCTTTCACAGTTAGGAAGTTCGTCCTAATGTTCAGGTGGAATCTCTTTTCCCGTAGTTTGAAGCCATTGTTCCACGTCCTAGTCTCCAGGGCAGCAGAAAACAAGCTTGCTCCCTCCTCCCTGTGACTTCCCCTTACATATGTATGCATGGCCCTCATCATGTCTCCTCTCAGCCTTCTATTCTTCAGGCTAAACATGTCCAGCTCTTTAAGCCACTCCTCATAAGGCTTGTTCACCAGACCCGTGATCATTTTAGTTGCCCTTCTCTGGACACATTCCAGCTTGTCAACATCTCCCTTCAATTGCGGTGCCTGGAATTGGACACAGTGTGATTCCACGTGTTGTCTGACCAAGGTGGAATAGAGGGGTAGCATGACTTCCCTGGATCTAGACACTAGACACCTATTTATGCAGGTCAAAATCCCATTGGTTATTTTAGCCGCTGAATGACACTGTTGGCTCATGCTTAATTTGTTGTTCATGAGGACTCCAAGATCTAGCATGGTGTAGTGGTTGAGTGTTGAACTATGCATAGCCATGAAAACCCACACACCCTCAGCCTGAGAAAACTGCAATAATGGGTTGTTGTGTGTTTTCTGGGCTGTATGGCCATGTTCCAGAAGCATTCTCTCCTGATATTTCACCTGAATTTATGACAGGCATTCTCAGAGGTTGTGGGGTTGAGGGGTCCTCACAACCTCTGAGCATGCCTGCCATAGATGCAGGTGAAACATCAGGAGAGAATGCTTCTGGAACATGGCCATACAGCCTGGAAAACACACAACAACCCAGTAATTCCGGCCATGAAAGCCCTTGACAATACAAATTACAATAATACTGTCTTAGGGTTGCCATAAATTGGAAATGACTTTAAGGCACACAACAACACCTATCACACAGGCAAATCACTGTGGGCTCTTCCACAGAGAGTAAAGTTATCTCTCGGAAAGGGAGACAACATTCTTTCTCAGATCCATTCCCAACCCATCTCTTGCAGTAAACAGGTGGAGAGCAGCACTGTGGGATATTAGTAGAGAAGACCAAGGGTGCCTAAGATTAGTTGTTTTTGTATTTTCTTAAACAAACAAACAAACAAAAAAGACTCAGCAGTTCAGAGCAAGTAAGGAAAAACTTGATGGAAAGAACTGCCTGCTCAAGTCTGGCTAACTGGCAATAGGAGGAGTGGGCAGGGAGCATGCAGAGGGTGAATGAAGGTGGGCATGCCACGACAGGCCATCAGCTCCCCTGAGATGGCAGGGGGCAGCGTCTGCACACTCAAGGAGTTGCTGCCCTTTGCCTCTCTTAGACGGACTAGGCGGTTCTTGATGGTGGAGTTGTACTTACCCCATTCCATTCCACGCCCATACTCACTTCCTCGCTACCATCTGTGGCACTTTCGTATTTGACACTGCCCCCCAGGCTATCCCGGCTCCTCCTCCTCTCAGAGCCATCACCTTCTTTCAGAATCTCTACCACCTTGGTTTGGTTAATGGGGTCAATACCCTGCAAGGGAACAACACAGAGAAAAACAGGGATGTGGGTTTAAAAGGGCTTGATCTTGACCAGGGAAGCATAGAGTCCCACCACATTTCCTAGATATGTATGGCATGGTTTATGCCTTTGTGATTACCACACAGAAATGAATACCTTGGATTTGGAGCATCCAGCTAATCCAAAAAGAGCTATATGGATTACATATGGTATGATTGGATCATCAATTCCAGGCTTAACTGGGGTCACTATACACAAGATTTGTGCATGACTATGCAGAATCTTTGCAGAAATAATTTTGTGTTCCCAAAACATGTGTGTTGTCTATGGCTTTCATGGCCTGAATCACTGGGTTGCTGTGAGTTTTCTGGGCTATATGGCCATGTTCCAGAAGCATTCTCTCCTGACATTTCACCCACATCTATGCCAGGCATCCTCAGAGGTTGTTCATTTTCCACAGATATATAAACTTCACTTGCCTAGTTTCCAACAGACCTCACAACCTCTGAGGATGCCTACCATAGATGTGGGTGAAACATCAGGAGAGAATGCTTCTGAAACATGGCCATACATCCTGGAAAACGCACAGCAACCCAATAATTATTGTATATAGTTGTCTTATTTATTGCATTTTCCTATTGCCTGCTAAATAGTCTTGAGGTGGTATACAATCTGTTAAAATATAAAATAAAACAAAACCAGTAAGGTACCATAACTTCCAGGCATGACACATCCAGGAAGCCATTGTTTCCGAGTTTATTGTTACTAGTAAATTCAGTCTTTTCTCATGCAAAGAAAGTGCAAGCGAAATAATAGCGAAAGGAAGCAGGCACACAAAACATATATCAAACTTAGCTTCTTATGTCACAATTTCATGATACAAACCAAGCCACAATGTGGCCTGTCTAATTAAGCACATTAAATAAAAATCTAACAATTGTGCACATATATTATTATTTGACACAGTCTAGTCTACTTCATGGGGATGCATTATTTCTTTTCACCTGAAGTAGGCAGTGAGAACTGTATGAGCCTCCAGATGCTGAACTACAACTCCCAGCTTTCCTTATCACTGGCCATGCTGGCTAGGGCCATTGGAAATTCCAGTTCACCATTTTGAGGGCCAAACAATTATCATCCATGACCCACTGATTTCACCAGACATAGCCCAGATAATATCATAATCTTAAAGGTTATTATCTTTTCAAAGTAAGCAACAATGAATCGGGTTCCTCAGAATACTGGATTCTACCCTTGGCTTCAAAAACTTTCAGCTGAATAATCGAAGTGTGGAATATACTGAGCCCAGCTCAACTTCTGGGAACACAGGAAGAGAGCATTAGGAAGAAAAAACAATAAAAGCAAGCTGCTGCAAAATAAAATGAAAAAAGCACCTCCAAGTTCTTATATTTGATATTTCTGGATGCCTATGCTGCACAGTTTTCTCTCCTTTGTCCTCAGAATTCTTATGAATATCTGGTGGAGGAACCTAAGACCCCCTTGATGTTGCTGTACCACTATTCCCATCATCCTGATTACTGACCATCCTGGGTTGGACTAATGGTAGTTCATATTTGAAGGCGATGATCTCTCATTTGCTTTAAGTGTTTAACGAGAAACTAGATGACCATGTTCAGGGACACTTTAGCTGTGGATTTCTTGCATAAACAGAAGCTTAACATAAATAATCATTCCCACTGTACAATTCTCTTGGGGCAAACCAAGAATGGGCAATTTGGAAGTCCCTAAGCAGACTCAGAAGTGGTGTTGGGAGATCAAAAGACAACTCTACATCTGTATGCTTGTCTACAATGTCCTGCCTCATGTACAGAGGAATAAGTGTTTGAGGCTACAGACAATGCAGTTGCTGTTGCCCATTTTTGGTCAAAAGATATGTAGCTGCTTGTGCTCCTTCTATTTTTATCAGTTTCATACTAATTTATGCAATGCTTTTGATACAAAATAAAAAAAATATAATTCTCTGATCATCTGAAGTGTCACAAGTTTCCCATTCCCTTGGCCTACCTGTCTCCTGGACCGTAATGCACACTCTTCCAAGGTTTCGGCAGCCTCCAGTTTGCCCTGACGCCTGTACAGTGCACCCAGATTCCGTAGGGTGGTGTTCACTGTGGGGCTGAGAGATGAAGAAAAAGGGCAGAATTGAGATACATGGCTTTTGCTTACAAACATGATACTTTGAACATGGAGCCACTCTTGTCTACAACTCCTGCTTTCTATTTCATCAAGACATGTTTAGCTAATAGCACTCGCTTGTCATACAGCGATCTTTGAAATAGAGGACATATTTCTTGGGAAGAGGCATGTTTTTTGATATGAGGCACCAGTTCCTGCTGCAAAAAAGGCTGGACCAGATCTTTCCGATTCCGTTCTTTCCAGCTGCTCTCTTTTAAACTTTGTTGCCTCAGGTAACTTTGGCCATTCCTATCAATAAGCTGAAATTAGGTAGCCACATGAGACTCTGGAAGCTTGAAAATTGTGACTATTGTCTTGGAATGTCCCTGAGTTATTGGCTCAATTTTTTGTTTCATTATACTTGCTAGTTACTTATTTTTTGTACCACCCACACATTTCTTTCTTGCCCCAGAAGTAAATGAAACTGGGATTCAAAAGGAAGATTAAAACTAAGAGGATAAGAAAACCTGGCCACACCATACCTGCTGACTTTGCAGGCTTTGTACCAGCCACCATACTCTGCATAGGGGGTGTTTTCTCGGTGTTTGCTCTGGAAAGGAAGCATGGAAGAGAGAGAAAAGCCTTCAGATCAAGCAAGCACCAATACGCAAAAAAGCTGTGCCTTGTGTATCCTTCTTTGCTTGGATGCCTTGCAAGAATGAAAGGGGGGGGGGGGGGGGGTATAATCCGTCTTAATCTTAAACTATTTTACAACCATGTTACCTCCTCTATTGATAAGAGTATGGCCCCCTGGGCCATAGATTCAACAGTCAGTTTTATTTACCCATGCACTAAAATATAATCCCTCCATAAAAAAAATCTTTGTAAGCCTTTCTAGGCCCTGCAATGCAATTCTATGGTATGTTTCTCGCCAAAAGACAGTCAAAACATATGGCTTGCTATTATTCACACTTTCAGGCATTCGGATGGGGTCTTGGAATATATTCCTGCTAATACAGGGGGTTGTATTGCATATATACTACCATTATAGAATGCAGTTTTAAAGATGCCACAAGATTTCTCCCTCCTTTGAAACAAACCAGTATGTCAAACACTCTGGAAACTACTTCAGTTGAAATACTGAAAATTACCAACAAAACGACCTCCTCCTGATATAAAACAATAAACCATCGTGTTCCAAAAAAACCACTGTGCTTGACCTTTGCAATGAAATCACAGAAAGCCCTGTGGCAACTTTTAAACCATGGGCATTCACAAAACCACCACAGATAAAATATCCTGGATCTATGGTTGGACCAGGTGATACATGTAACATGGTAAGACTGCATTATTCCAGTTCACATTTATGGTGAATGTTTGTGTCGCTATCAACTGTTCTGTGAAATGGCCAGTATTAATATAATTTTTTATTGTTCCCATTTGAATTTACTCGGAACAACATATTTGCTCTGAACTGCATTTGAGGTATATATTTTGTGACCTACAGAATATACTCCCTGTATCTGAAGAAACTGGTTTTTTTTTCCACGAATGCTCATAATAGATTGGTTAATCTTAGAAGTACCCCAGAATTATTTGTTATTTTATCTGCAACGGATCAACAGTTACCCCCCTAGAAATGACTGTTACTAGGAAGTTTAATTTGCAACCACTGCAATTCAGAAGGAAGATTTTAAAAGACACCAGAAAAGGTGTCTGAGATCATTTCACCACTAAGTCAGACAATTTGATTAACAAGACTGGATTTTAACAGGCATCCCTGGGAAGACTCAGAGAATATGGCAGAACAACACATTATATTTTGTTACATAATTGGACAGTAATAATATGGACTGCTCCAGTGTCTGCCTACAAAACATGTTATGAACACTGTATTCCATTTATACAGTGTATGAACCAGTAGACCAATTTCTGGGATTTAGAAACTCACTGATCCACAGACTGAAGTGTATTTAACTGAGAGACACAACGTAAGCTACAAAATGTGCATGAACAAGAAATCTTAGAAGAGCTTAATACAAACTGATTCTTTATCAAGTGATAAAATTGAGGAAATAATAGCTTTCTTGAATAGCTATTAAAGCTAGTAATTGCCGGATAAGAATAAAATCCTATGTATTCTAGCATATTGTTTCTTACCATACACAGTAGATACAGAATCACAGAGTTGGTAGAGACCAAAGGGCCATCCAATCCAATCCTTTGCAATGGATCAATACACAATCACAACACTCCTGAAAGGTGGCAATCTAGACTCTATTTTTGTGGATAGCTGTATACTTAATTTGCCTAATCTGTTTTTAAAACCATCTATCCAAATAGCCAAATATGGAAAACACAAGAATGGCCATCAGACTGGAAAAAATCAACTTATATCCCCATACCAAAAAAGGGAAATGCGAAAGACTGCTCAAACTTCCGTACAGTGGCCCTTATTTCTCATGCCAGTAAGGTAATGCTCAAGATCCTGCAAGGAAGACTCCAGCAATACATGGAGCGAGAGTTGCCAGATGTTCAAGCTGGGTTTAGAAAAGGCAGAGGAACGAGAGACCAGATTGCAAATATCCGCTGGATAATGGAGAAAGGCAGGGAGTTTCAGAAAAACATCTACTTCTGCTTCATTGACTATTCTAAAGCCTTTGACTGTGTGGATCATAATAAATTGTGGCAAGTTCTTGGTGGGATGGGCATACCAAGCCACCTTGTCTCTATCCTGAGGAATCTGTACAAGGACCAAGTAGCAACAGTCAGAACTGACCACGGAACAACAGACTGGTTCAAGATTGGGAAAGGCGTACGGCAAGGCTGCATCCTCTCACCCAACCTTTTTAACTTGTATGCAGAACACATCATGCGATGTGCGGGGCTGGATGAATGCAAAGCTGGGGTGAAAATTGCTGGAAGAAACATTAACAACCTCAGATATGCAGATGACACCACTCTGATGGCCAAAAGCGAGGAGGAGCTGAGGAGCCTTCTAATCAAGGTGAAAGAAGAAAGCGCAAAAGCCGGGTTGCAGCTAAACCAAGATTATGGCAACAAGAATGATTGACAACTGGAAAATAGAGGGAGAAACCGTGCGAGATGCAAGAGAGTAGCCAGAAAATCAGAGTAGACGCGCGGACAGTACTTGCTGTGGGAGCGCCCCGAGGAGCAATGTTCCAGTCACGATAAAGATGTAGGAAGGAGTAGAGATCAATACTAGTCGATAGAAACCATGACTGGGGCAACCAAAGATCGACATGAAAGCCTCAAAGCCATAGAGTATTTCCCTGAGTCGTCCCCTACGGATGTGAGAGCTGGCCTTAGGGAAGGCTGAGCGAAGGAAGATTGATGCTTTTGAACTGTGGTGTTGGAGGAAAGTGCTGAGAGTGCCTTGGACTGCGAGAAGATCCAACCAGTCCATCCTCCAGGAAATAAAGCCCGACTGCTCACTGGAGGGAAAGATACTAGAGACAAAGTTGAAGTACTTTGGCCACATCATGAGGAGACAGGAAAGCCTAGAGAAGACAATTATGCTGGGGAAAGTGGAAGGCAAAAGGAAGAGGGGCTGACCAAGGGCAAGATGGATGGATGGCATCCTTCAAGTGACTGGACTGACCTTGAAGGAGCTGGGGGTGGTGACGGCCGACAGGGAGCTCTGGCGTGGGCTGGTCCATGAGGTCACGAAGAGTCGGAGACGACTGAACGAATGAACAACATCCAAATAGCATAATGATACCTGGAAGCAAATTCCGTAACTCAACTGTGTGCTAGATGAAGCGCCTCTTTTGCCTGTTACAAGTCTTCCACCATGCAGGTTAATTGGACAGATTGGGGTTTCAGTGTTAGAAAAAGATAATGTGTCGTCTCCTATCCATTTTGTTGACATCACGGATAATCTTACCTACCCCTATCCCCAATAATATGATTTTCACTTCCTAAAGCAAGTTTAGAGACTTGGCCAGACATAGAAAGCCAAACTCCAAAGTTCAGCACTTCTCTCAGTGCATGCCCTTATCCTGGGAACAAATTTCTGGTTTGCGAGTTCTTCCCACTGGAACTATGCCCAGTTATTAGCAGCTTATTTTTTGTCTCTTCTCCATTCTCTGAGGCTCTTAGCCAAGACACAGGACTCCAACACATTCTTTCACAGGTTTAGAAGAACTTCCTGATTTTTTTAAAAAAGCCCCTCCGAAAAATCCTTCTTCCTCCAATCAATTATTTGGCATGCCCGGTTATATGAAGAATCCCAAACTTGGACTAACATAAACAATGACTTGGACTACCACAAACAATATTGCAGTGCTAAGTGTGTTTAAGAAGTAGTGGAACATAGGGAGTTGTTTTACTGTTGCCATGTCAGATCAAAGACCACCCAGCTTATTATGGCTGCCTATGACTGGCAGTGGTTCCCCAATATTTTGCAGATGAGTCCCTTCCATTGCCACCAGAAAATAAAAAGGACTGACCCCAGTCCATTTTGTGTACAAAGCATATGATGTGTCATTGAGACACAGTTCTTTCCAAAATCAGACTCATTCAGCAAGATTAGGTGACAAGTAAACTTGTTTGAAGCGATGACAGATATGCAAAGACACTCAATAGGACCGTTCATAATATGGACTCATTATGAGTAAAAAGAGTGCCTCAAAGGTATCTTCAGAGCAGGACATCTTTCTGTGACACTCTGCTGATGACTCGATAAAAATGATAGTGTAGGCCAAATTGAACCAGTTTATCGCTTTTACAGACTTCCAGAAATTTTGCAGGTAAGGTCAGCTGAGGTTCATGTCAAGTTAACTAGACCAAGGCCAGCAACTGCAAAGGCTGATTGGCACATTTCCTAGCTTCTACACAAAGCAACAAGACGGATTAATAACCATCGGTCAAGAGTTATTTTCAAAATAGTAAGGACACACTGTAACTCAGAAAGAAAAGATCCTGGTTATTAAGCAGAATATTGTAATTTAGTTTGTCTGGCATTACTCAGACTAGCTCTGTTCTCCTTTCAAGGCAGGAGGGAATTATAAGCATCTGGATTTAACCTTCTAAGGAAGTAGAATTTTGTGTATCCTTAGTGAGCACAAGCCAGCTCTGTGTGTTTCAGTATGGTTCATGCTTATACAACAAGAGCACATAACTTGATTTCCTCTTGTATGCCAATCCAATTGCACCACACAACAACAGTTGGTAGATATTGCATAGAAGACAGCAACCTAACACTGATGCACCAGTGGCAGGAATCATGGGCTTCTCAGATGATACTGGACTGCAACCTAAAACATTATTTGGCGTTAGGTATGCTGGTTAGGGTTGATGGGACCTGCAGTTTGGCATTATTTGGAGGGCTGCATTGTTTCTACTTTTGTTTTATAGAGTAAGTATCCTATTTCTGTCTCATAATATCCTAGAGCAGTGGTCCTCAACCTGTGGGTCCCCAGATGTTTTGTCCTTCAAATCCCAGAAAGCCTGACAGCTGGTAAATTGGCTGGGATTTCTGGGAGTTGTAGGCCAAAACACCTGGGGACCCACAGAATGAGAACCACTGTCCTAGAGGATCTCCTTCCCAATGGTCACATATATCATGGACCTCTCTAAGCAAAAAAGACAAGTTTACGTATTTCTAAACTAGGGTGTTTTCTGAGAACCACAAAGGGGATGCTAGCCATCATTACCCTGGTAATTCATCCTCCCTCCCAAATTACCCTTCCCAAGTATATACCACAGAAAAGTTGTACAAATAGCTCAAAACCATTCATGTAAGGGCTAAAATAAGCACAAAAATTACTTTTATCAAAAGAGTATATGACCAAGCTAGCTAGATGATTTTGGAAACTGTAGTTCATTTTTTCTCAAGCTCTGGGTTGGGATATAAGTGCTATCCAATATACTATTGGACTGTAACTCAGTGACCCTAGCCAGCGTAGTGAATGGTATGGGAATTGTAGATCAACCCCTGGAGGACTATGTCTGCCACAGGAACACAGTTGAGGCTGCAGTTGTATGTAAACCACTATGTTCAACTGGCATATTTCCAAGTAAATTATGTAAGGGTACTATGATATTAATGGAATATGATAAAGAATGTAAAAAGGCAGTACTTTACCATGATTGGTTTTATGACTTTTAATAGCATGAAAAAGAAAAACAAAACCAAGAATGCCAGTGGAAGAAGACATTAGAGAGAATGGAGAAAGAATGAATACATAACTGAAGAGGAGCTTCACATTCCAAAAACACCATATGATCTCACACTTCTCCATTGCTTGAAAATGTCCTCTGTAATTTTGAAAAGTTGCAGCTCACTTCTCTATTTAGAGAAAAGCTGATGCAGCTTAGCTGTTGAGAAGCAAATTAGCTGAAAGGCCACAGTTCATGACACTGTTTAGCCACTAACTCCATGGCTTGCCTAAGGCCACTCTTCCTTTCTTAGTCCTCTCCTTACACAGATGATATGGCAATTACAATAACAGCAGCATGTGCAGCTACTGAGCACTAAATATTCCTGTAGCTCATCCAGCAAGCTTCTCTCTAAAGAAAGATGATGTTTCCATTGATTCAAGGTATTACTTGAAGTTGAGCTGGCAGACATATAAAAGGTCTCCATTTGCAGACAATTTCTGCAGACTGATTTGTGAAGTGTCTTCCTGAGCTGCTGCAAACGATGACCAATTCTTACACTTCATAGAGGCAATGCATTAGATGATTATTATACAATGCAAGTCCAGATTATACATGTGCAAGTCCACTGCTGCTAAGTAGCATCATGTGGGAAGTAAATGGCTTCTAAGTTCAGATGGGTGTTGGATGTGTTACTGGCACAAATCTTCATTTCACAGTATCTCCTACTTCATTCACATGTAGGGAAAAACCATAGTTCACTGGCAGAATACATGCCTTGTGTACAACTTCAATCCTGGACATTTTCAGTTTCAGATGATGAGAAAGGCTTATGACAAACAGAACAGATTGATCACTAGTCTTCCTATTTCTAGAAGAAACAAACATGAGCCTTCATCACTAATTGACACAAATGCTTGTTGAGTGAAGGACCCAAAAGGGGAACAATTATGGGTCACACTACAGAAAAGGTGATCTAGTGATACTGCAAAAACATGAGGAGGACTCTGGCCACCATGTTTCTGAATTCAGCTGCAACTGTTTCCCTATAACAAATAGTTTGCTACCTCCTTATTTGAAATTATTTGGATTCTACACAGAATTGTAAACTCCTGATCATTAGTATTCAAAGGAATGTTGTCGGAACAAAGCTTTGCATGGCTTTTCTCATGGATAGAATCAGAAATTGAGGTGGGAAACAGACAATGAACACCATGGAAGAACCAAAAATACCTGTGGTAAAAATGACCAGGGAATGGAAGGTGGAGGCTTTATGAATGCAAACCCACTTAAGGCAAGTGTCAGGATAAGGATTCTAATCAAAAGGAAAAGGCAATTTTGGTCCAAGGAGCTTTGGGCACTGAAGAGGGAGGATGAAAATGCAATCATGATGGACATAATTTCTTATTTAAACCAATAGTGAGCAGCTGACACTTTTCAGACTATGATCCAAGGGAAAAAGGCTCAGCACACTTCCAGAGAGGAGGTAACTGAAATAGCTCTTAGCTGCAAGATGGCCCTATTTAGAATTCAGTTTGTATAATAGGAAGCTAGGGGTGAGGAGAGAATGAAAAATATAAACTTCAATAATCTCTGCTGGACAAAAGATGCACTGAAGCCTTTAGACCAGGAGTGTTCAACTTTCTGGTTGCCCAGGGCCACATTAGATGAACAATTGTCTTGGGCCACACATAAAACATGCGGACACTCATGAGCAAGAAATAAAAAAGGTATGTGCATAATTTTCATTATAACTGCCACCACAGACAAGCACAAAAAGGTCTCCACATAATTGTACGCTGCCCCATTCAGAGGCTCTTTTAAAATCATCAAGCATGTCTTCTGGCTGAACTGTTAGCAATTATAATGTGAATTACGGATAATACTCCAATATTTGTAGCCATAACATAGTCTGATTATTCTACTTCATTCTGTTGCTGTTGACAAAGTTTGCGGTCAAGAAGCATCTAATTAGGTTATCCCCCCTGCCCCCAATTTATCTCATCATGTTTTAAGTTAGTTTATGATGTTGTGTTAGGCCACTTTCATAGGTGTCCTGAAACGAATGCAAACAAACTTAAGACCCTTACATGGGAAATGTCTATACTTTGTTCAACTGATTAGCACAGAAAGTATCAGAAGCAGTAGGATATTGATACATTTCAAAGTGCAGGTGATAAATTGATCTGTATCTACAAATCAATTCTACCAGTGGCCATCTCTACTAGCAACAAGCAGTTTGTGAATCTAGTGGGTTTTAATTACCTGTTCAAGACGAAGCAACTTCCAAACACTTTCCATAACAAGATCAATTTACAACATATTTCTACATCAGAATTCAGTCCATTCCCTTTTCCTGTATTACAATGAGAGTTTCAATCCCATGCATTCTGGCTGTATCACAACACTGGTCAGATGCAGACCAACTTCCTATGATATTGTTTAAAATGTGTAGATTTCCAAAGGAAGACAGGGCAATTGTTCACCACATCAAAGGGTGGAACCCTTCTCCAAGGATCTCAGGCTCGATGGCACTTTAATAAATATCTTGGTCCCTTTCCAACCTAATCTAAGCATTAGCTTCTCTCTCCTACAACTGGAAACAGAAGGTGCTCAGGAGGAGGTGACGATGCAGAAGACTGCAGCTTCTTTCTAGTCCTTGCATCTCTGCCTTCAGGCTCAAGAAATTATTTGTTTTTTTCCTGATCAGGCAAATGGCCTTCCAAATAAGCAAGCTTTAAATTCCTGGTTCTGAAGCATCTGTGGCCCAAAACCTGGAGTAATCCCTCCATCTTCCACTCTCCAGTACGTCCTAGGGAGTGCACTATAACAAAGAGAAAATATGCAAGCACAGGAAGAACATGACAATCAGTTCCATTTTCTGCCATGGAAAGTTAGTGGTTGGTACTGCCCAAATTTTCTTGACTCCCCCACCCCAAAATACTGCTCCATTGAGCTTTTACTATTTTTTGCAGATACTAACTACCACATTTAGCACCCTCAAACAGTTCCACTCTAAGGCAGGGGTGGGGAATTTCCAAATATTGCTGGATTACACCTCCCAACATTTGTGACCACTGTCCATGCTGACTGGGGCTGACTGGAGTCCATCATCATGCGTCATGCCCCACCGGCAGCAATATGTAGAGGTGAGTAAGAAACAACAACAACAACAATAATAATAACAATAATCCATTATTTCTCAAAGACAAAGAAAGGATGTCTCCAGTTCTGAGAATCCCCTCAGTAAATGATAAATGAGCAAGACTGGCTCAGGTATATGTCACATTCCTCCTGTCACCAGGCATCAGTCCCTTTCAGAATGGCATTGTTGCACTCACCTTGCTCATCTCCTCCCTTTCTTCAGCATGCATCCATATAGGTTTGTGTTCATCTGCAGGAGAAGGGGAAATAGGGAAAAACACACAATCTATTGATATTTCTAGAAAAACCTTCCCTCACCCCCTACAGTCAGCAAAGGAAGATGCTGATGTGTTAATTTTTAGACTGGTTTTCTTGTTTTCTTTTGACAGAAATGCCTTTGTCAGCCATGAAGAAAGTGGGTAATGCAAATGTGTTGTGTGTTCGTGAGAAGGAGATGCAAACACAACACATAACTTTTCACTCTCCCATCAGGATGCAGTAACACAAAAAATAACCTTCTGGTCAGAATCAGGACCAACACTGTAAACTGCCGCCTTGGTGTACTACTATAGGAACAGATAAACAATAATGTCCCTCCATAACTACATTTTTAAGTTTCTCAGCTTCAGCCTACTCCTTTTGTTAAGCTCTATCGAAGCCCTATCATCTTTTCACCCACAATGACACTTCACTCTTTGTGTACATACCATCCACAGAGCCAAATTCCTTCACATGGGCACGGGTGAGGATTTCCTTATAGAGTACCTCTGCATCTTTGTATTTGCCTTGTTTCAGATAGCAAGAGGCCTGGCACAGATTACAGAAACAATATTTTAAATACAGCTCACAGTGATCCAGCCCATGCATGCAATGTCCATCATCATATATTTGAACAATCCTCACATCATACAATGGACCCACCAGATTGTTCTTTGTTTTGGCCACATTTGGATCATCAGGCCCTAGGCAGGATTCGTAGATTTCCAGTGCCCGGCGGTAGTAATATTCAACTTCTTCATATTTGCCCTGATTCTGGCACAGCAAAGCCAAGTTATTTAACTGTTTGGCCACATCTGGGTGATCTTTACCAAGAACCTGAAATAAACAGATATAGAAAATAAACTGGAGGGAGGGAGGGAGGGAGGGAGGGAAGGTGGCAGGTAGGCAAAGTCAGAGACCAAGACGTTTTTATTGTTGGAGAATATGGGCCACAGATATATCATGGGAAGCAACAATGTTTGAAACTCTAGTATATGCAGTTTTCTCTACAATGGGATAAGCAAAGTACAGTCTGCAAGCCATATGCAAATACCAAAGTTGTTTTTTTTTTTTTCTCAGCTTGAAGAGTACTTGCATTTCTCCATCTCTGGAAAATGGATGGGGCTCAGGCTGGGCAGAATATTTTACTGCCTCAAAATGTCAACAGTCCCCAAGCAAAGTTTCTGGGTGAGGTGCTATTTGCAATTTTTGCCACGGTTTGAGGAATTTTAGGCCCCTGCACATCTTTATCAAGTTACTGATAGGTCTTTTGTCACAGCAGAAAGTCACTGTCCTGAACTTGTTTTGCTCCCCACAATTTTACGATTAGGCAGGCAACAACAGTGTGCAGCCCAACACATCTCTCCAAATTATGGCAGCTGCTAACCCTTACTATCTATATATAGTTTGGCATTCGTTTCCTACTACTTATTTCACATGCAGATATTCTCTTTTCCTAATGAAAGTATATATTGCACACTTTATTACTTTAGCTGGACTGTAGAATCCCACTATTTAATTGCCTAATATTGACTCCCTCCATACTTCAAAAGAGAGAGAAAGAAACCTTTTCCCGGATTTCCAGGGCTCGCTTGCACAATGGTTCTGCCTCCTTGTATTTTCCCCTTTTGCCATAGAGAACAGCCAAGTTATTCAGGGTTGCTGCAACCTGCAGAAAAACATAAGGATTTCTATTTGAGAGCAAAAACAAAGCAAAAAAACAAACAAACAAACAAACAAACAAAACCCAACTCAAGGGAGCTTAAAAAAGAAAATGAGCAAAATGAACATCACTGGGTATCCTAAGCAATACTCATTGAAAAATCATTGTCAATCAATGTCAAACCAAGAAACAAAACTCAAATTGCAACCATTTCTCAAGATGTGCTAAAGCCAGTAAGCTAAAAATGACCCTATTCAATTCACACTGTCTGATGTGGTGATTGTAATATATTATTAAATTAAATTAAATTCACACATTAGTTTGCCTCTATTACCTACACCTGCTTCAAGGTGCCATTTGAAGCATGCCATATGAACATCAGAGCTGGCTTATATATTGAAGCTGCCAACTCTCTACTGAGCCATTGGCACTATGGAACACACAGAAAGGCAGCACTAGCCACAAAATGATCTGTTACATCAAGAATGTGTAGAGCTTTGTATAAAAAGTGCACAAAATAAAATCTATCTATTGTTGTAGTGGTAGTAGCTGCTGTACACCTTCAAGCCATTTCTGATTTACGGCTACCCTGAAGCTACCCTAAATAATCTTTTGCAAGATTTATTTAGGAGTTTTTGCCAGTGCCTTCAACTGAGGCTGAGAGAATATGACTTTGACTCAGGTTGGATCTATAGCTGAGCAGAGATTCAAACCCTAGCCCACCTATCCCTAAAATATCCATCCTATTTCTCTTGAACATGCCCAGCATTTTTAAAATTTTAATCATTACATTTGGCCCTGCCACAGGTTTTAAATGCGTCATGATATTATTGTTATTGTTTTGCTTTGTTATGAGTTATTTATTGTTGTATTGTTGTTGTTGTGTTTTATTGATGTATTTGGGCCCGGCCTCTTGTAAGCTGCACCGAGTCCTGAGGGAGATGGTAGCGGGGATTATTATTATTATTATTATTATTATTAGCCCTAACTAATAAATAAAGGATTATTATTATTATTATTATTATCCCTAACCCAACTCCCAAATTAAGCTACACTGGCTTGCAAAAACATGTACAGAAGATATTATGTCCTCTGCTTATGCTGTTTTGTAAACATAATAAAATTATGCAAGTGAATTAATAATTAATACAGTGCCCTCAACTAGGAGCAACCTGTCTTTGTAAGTTTACTGTTCAAAAAGCAGGGCTGCAGATTCTTTGAACAGAAGAACATAACAGCTTATGTTTGAGTTCCTCAACAACTGGTATCAAAGTCCATACTGCCTCTGATTCCGGAAGTAATACACGGCCAGCTATAAAAACCTATTTGCAGTAATATTCTAAAACTTTTGGCCTGATTTCCTCCATAGCAATTTCATCTCCTTAGTTTGTAGTAGTGGAAGTTCCTGCAAATAGGCCATGTTGCCTATTTAACACCTCTTTGCCCTAATGAAAGTTCATACAGCAAGAAGAACTGTCTTTTTTTTTTACTCCCTCCAGCTAACCTGGCACAACCTGAAGTCAACACATGCTATTGGCAGGCTCTGCAACATTTCTGTGGTTTAGCTGGCTATAAAAGCTACTTTCTAATTGCCATCTACGCAGATTTTTCCACCTAGCAAAACTGAAAGAAATTGCTACTTACTGCAGGATGGTCCTTGCCAAGAGTCTTTTCCCTAATAGACAGTGCATCATTCAGCAGGTGAGCTGCCTCCTTGTATTTGTTCTGATCCCTGTAGGAAGACATTTTATGAATACTGTACAGTACAATCATTCACATCAGAGGAAAAGATTGACTGCATTTAATTTCTCAAAGTCAACTCATCTCCCTCTTCTGCACATATTTTTACTTTAAGCTTAACATATGGAGCATTTCATATTTGCACACAGGGTAGAGCCTTATGGGAACTCCTTGTACAACTTGTGCAAGCTGTCTGAGTAAGGAAACATCTTTGAAAATTGGGGACCCAGCACTTACCTATATACTAAGGCCAAGATGTTGAGCATTGTAGCCACATCAGGATGATCATGGCCCGATGTCTTTTCCAAGTCCTCTAGTGCCTGTTTGCAGAGAGGCACAGCCACTTCATAGCGTCCTTGTGAGGCATACTGAATCACCAGGTTATGGAGAGTGCGAAGGCGTGCAGGAATCTCATAACCACCTTGCTGGGCAGCTGCAGCTGCACTACTATGTTGGTGAGGCACTGCAAGCATATATCATAGTTAGAAAGGCTGTATTGTCATGCTGTATCCAATTGAGAACTGCCACCTATTTCAATTTCCTAAATTCCAAACTCGCCAGTAAATGTGCTGGCAGACCAGTACAAAGGCAGTATAAAACACTTCCTCCCACCTATTAATTATTCTCCCTTTTTGAAGAATGAAGGAATGCAACCTACACCCTTGGCCCTGATCCTCTTCCTCATTTGGAAACAAGTCATCCAAAGAGTCCTTTGTGGAATCGCCTTCCTTTTCCTCCTGAAAAGAGAGAACCACACATAAAATGAAATTTAGAAATGATATTATAAAATGAAAGGATACATTGTGATTTCTGAAACAGGGATGAAATTTTAATTCTCAACACTGGCTCATTAAAATGTTTTCCTTCTTGTCAAAACAACACCAATCCAATTTCAAGGGCAAGCGATCTTTGCTTTGTCTCACTAAGATTCAGATCAGACTTATTCAGTAACCATCAGGGTGTTCAAGAAAGATCAATATTATTGGCCTCTAGTGGGAGGGCCTCCAAGTAATAGATAGATATTCTCCTCCCAGTCCATTTGATGCTCACCGATGGAGACACGTCATCATCATATTTCTTCAGCTGGTTCATGAACTCCAGATGTTTCTTTTCCTCTTCAAGCTGTGCCACTGTCTGCTCACTGCGTTGCAGCTTCTGCTGAGTGTTTGCCAGCTCGTCCCGCAGCCATTGGTTCTCTTGGCACAGCCGGCGTACTTGGGCCCTCAGTTTTTGCTTCTCAGATTCAACTGCGTTCAGATGGTTCGAGAGAGCCATCATCACCTGGCACAAGAGAGGGAGTGAGAAATTGTTTCTGTTGAATGCATGCTAGATACTTTCTTGACTAGGCCCCTCTTTAAAAGAAATCTATTTAACAATGTATCCAAAAGCTTCCTTCCAGTCAAGCCAAATCCCAGTGGAGAGATCAGCACTGGAAGTTCTGAGGCCCACAGGAAATATGCTCACTATTTAAGGTGGTGTCAAAAGTATCCAAATACTTGCATCTAGCCAGATGTTTCAAGCTAGAATATTAAATGCTCAACTCATAGTTGGAAGGATGCAGCACTACAGCAAATACAATCAGTGCTGTATCCAGCATTCACTGCCTTTGTTGTCAAGGGACAGGAAGCTTGTGGAAGTTCAAGCAGTGCAACAAATCAAAAAGGACTCAAACTTTGTGCAGAACAGCCTTTCCATGCAGAGCAGTAAAGGTGACCACCCCATTCTGGAGTCTTCCAAGACAATATTGAGCTCTCTGGCACATTCTAGTTTTGTGCCCCACAGAAAGTTTGGAAGTGCTACTTTTTAAACTGCAACCTCAGAACCCCACTGCCAACATTGTTATTGTGTGGCTTCAAGTCATTTCTTATTTAAGGCAGCTCTATCATCGGGTTTCCTTGGAAAATTTGCTCTGAGAGGGGCCTGCTATTGTCTTCCTCTGAGTTTCAGAAACTTTGACTTGCCCAAGGTCATCCAGTTGGTTTTTATGGTTGAGCAGAGATTCAATCTCTGGTTTCAAGATGTAGTCAGAATGTCAAATCGCAACAGTACATTGGTTCTCACAGCCAGCATATGTCACCCCAGATCTTGTTGGCTGCCTCCTCCAATCCACTGTTTGTTGATGAGGAAGGGAGAAGCCGGGTCACTGGAAGATAAGGATGGGGAAGAGCAGCAAAACTGACTCTGCACTTTATGTACCCATGGCATGGTTGTGTGCCCACAGCTGTACGTATTCGGCCAAAATGTTCATTTTTCTGCTTTTGTTATATCTATAAGAAATTAATTAACTGTCCTGAAGATGTCCCAAGTTTGAGTTAGGGTAAAAGTAAAGGTTTCCCCTTGACAATAAGTCTAGTCGAGTCCAACTCTAGGAGTGGTGCTCATCTCCATTTCTAAGCTGAAGAGCTGGCATTGTACAAAGACGCCTCCTAGGTCATGTGGCTGGAATGACTGCATGGAGTGCTGTTAGCTTTCAGCTGACATGATACCTATTAATCTACTTACATTTGCATCTTTTCGAACTGCTAGGTTGGCAGAAGCTGTGACTAACAATGGGAGCTCACCCCGTCCTGCAGATTCTGGTCAGCAAGTTCTGCAGCTTAGCAGTTTAACCCACTGCGCCATGACTGTTTATTTTGTGCAATTTATTCCACTGCTACAGAAAACTGAATTATGCTTCCAGCACAAAACTTCAACAATGGCGCTAGAATTCCAAGTATATCTATATAGGAATAAGGCTAGAAGAATGATTTAAAGAAAGAAAGCTTAATTTACAGAATGTTGACCCCTATGACTTACAGTTTGATTGATCTGTGGTTCTGTGAAAAGGAGGAAAGCCTCCAGACCTATCTATACCTGATCAATATGTGACAAGTGCACTTACCCAAAGTCACCCTAGTCAGCATATTGAATGACTTATTCATGATCTATTCAATTATTTATTTACCATTTTTGTAAAGAAATTCTGTTTCTTCTGCTGGAACTATGTACCATAGTAAAGTTCTTCGCAAGAGACTACATCTCACCTGTGCCTCTCCAAGGCCCAGCTCAATCATCTCCACTGACTTGCGGAGCAGGTTGGCTTTCTCATGTACAAGGTTGGCTTCCTCGTCCTTCTTTAGACACTTAATGGTTTCCAGCAAGCTATGCAAGATCGAATTGTGTTCATTCTTCAGGGCCTCCAGCCCTTGCATCACCAGTTTTGTGTTGGAAATGATCTCCTCTTGGCTTAGTTTGTCCATTTTCTCTTCCCTAGGGTACACCATTGTGGACATAGTCTTTCAGCTACTGCCTCCACCTAAAGAAGAAGAGAAAAGGTGAAATTATTCAAGAGCAAACCCTTATTTGGAGTGGGAAGACCCTGAAAAACATTAAAAGGCAAAAGCCATGTACAGATGATGCTAGAGGAAGATGCCTTATTCCCATTTAGGTTCATTCTCTGAAGGGAAACCCTAATGATCTGGGACTCTGTGTCCTTGTCAAAAAAAGGCAGCACAGAGTGTGACCAGTCACTAGCAGTAGCACATACAGGTAAAGATGAGGCTACGTCAAAGCTGACATTCATTCTCCCACCGCCCCCACATCTTTGGGAATCAAGAAAGCTGATTTAGCTGCCATTTAAGAGCACAAGGGGAAACAAAATGAGCCCAGAGGTCATGGAGATTTAGCCAAGAACAGACAGAATTAGAAACAAATTATTCCAACACAGTAAAAGAAAGGAAAAAGCCGAAGTTTTACACATATTATTTTTAATTCCTTCCTGCAACAAGAGCCCCTTTTCAGTTTGAGACATATAAACTATACTTTGTGAACTACAAGAAAACATTTTAAGGCTCTAATGAACAGACCCTGGTCCTGGCTCCACAATAAGATGCGCTTTTCTTTTCTTTTCTTTGAAAAGATGGGAGCCTGCAGGAAAAGCAGTGAGGCAGATAAAGTAAGGTGGCAGTTAATTGTTCAGCTCCAACAAGGAGGCTCAGATGTAAGGTCCTTTAATTAAGACTTCTAGACTCAAGCAAGACACTCTATGCATTTTCCCATCTCCATGCCCTACAGTTGAGTTTTCTAAGAAAACAAACATTGGGAAGCACTATATAGGTCCTATTTGTGACTCGACATAAATACTAGATTCACCAGGTCTGAACAAAAAGGTGACGAAAGAAACTGCAACCAATGCATGCTTGAAACCCGAAACACGGGGTCAGGTAGATCAAACGAGTAATACAAAACTTTACATATCTATAGCCAGACACATAGCCACACTGTGTCCCCCCACCCTCCTAGTCCATAGTGAAAAATTTAACTGAAGATTTAGCTATGGAATCTAAAAGAGTGGTCACAGCTAAAATATTTCCTTGACTAATAGATCCTTTCCCAATCTTTTGTCAAAACATGAGATCTGCTTTCTCCTTGTTTGCTGCAAACAATAATCTAGCTTTGATTCCTCTGAGATACATGGCAGAGACATGGACTACGTAACACTGACAGCTCCATTCCAGACATGTTTATAAAGAGCCCTCTCCTCCTTTCACCCTCCCTTTTCCCCAGTCCCCAGCCCCACCTTGCTCTAATGCTCACCCTATACCCACAGGTTTGGACAAGAGGTTCTTACCTCTTTAGCAGCAGACAGAGCAGTCTGTCCAGGTTGCTTCAGATACAAAGGCAAGCAAGACAACCTGGATTCACGTGATCCAGCTGGCAGGAAACCAAGCTGTTTCACTAGCCAAGGAAGGAGGGGAAAAGAAGAGGGAGTCAGCTATCAGCAGATCTGCCTTTGTTCTCGGGTAGTCCCACCTCTGTGTGTTCTGGGCTTTTTGCTAGGCAACGGCGGTCTGCCTCCCCCATGTTTACTGAAGCTAACAAAATGCCCCACTCAAAAAGAAAAAAAATACCCTCAAAACAATGAAAGTCTCTCAGCAGAGTTGCTCACTACTCTCAAGGTGGCAACTTGATTTCTGAAGAGCAGATCTTTTCATTCAAGTGCTAGTGGGACAATATCTCCCCATTCCATGTCACACAGTAATGGGTGAAGACAGAACAAAGAAGCAGACAAGGACAGTAGACTGGAAAGTCCCCTCAAAAACCAACAACAATCCAGTGAAAGGCTCCAGTTTCTTTTTCCAGAAAAGAAAAAGTATGTGTGTGAGAGATGGATGCTCTGTGACTCCACCACAGAAAGGAAGGTGGCAAAGGTTATCCCAGCAAGGTGAGCTTGGGTATGGGATACATTGATCAGTGGCAGCAGGGAATGAAATCATGTAGGAAAGTTGTGGCAAAATAAATATCCTTTGTGCACTAACCTGGCTAGCAGACAATTTCTTTAGGAAAAGGGGGAAATACTGATTTGCTCCATACAAAACGACTCTCTGAAATTCACAACCACTGCTTCTCTAGCACGTACTGCATGTAGTTTAACATGGCAACTTGTTTTTCTAATACTTGGACAGCTATTCATTGGGCTGCAAGCTTTCTAAACTGAGTTTACAAACCTATCAAAACAAGACACTTTCAATTGACTCCATGGAGTCAAACTGCTTCTGCTATAATTGCTAATTGCAGAACAAACGAAATTTATTAAAAGTTATGAGTACTGTAAGCCAAGAGTGTACAAGAAAGAATTTTGAATGAGGATACTAGATCTTTACACCAGCTTCTAATTGCAAATAATTTGAGATTTTTGCAGTGGATTCTCAGAATGTTCCCTTTCCTCCCATATAATTATTCTGAGAAAACATTTACCATGGGATTATATTCTTCTCTTTCTATTCCATACCCTCATTTAATTTCCTACATCCTGTTCAACATTTCTTCCATCTCAACAGTCATGTTAATTCTGGAGGAACTGTCATTCCTTTCAATGCCTCTCAGGTATTACTGAAGGCCCTGCAAGAGATTTGAAGCCACCCAAAGATGTCGTGAAAATAGATTATGGTTTCTATGCTTAACAACAAATAGTTTTTATGACATAAGAGTTCTTTTCTAGAACCTCCTGAAGGAATGTCTCTGGTTCGAAGACAGAACACAAAGCACAAGAAGGTTCACCAATCATAACAGTCTTCCTTAACCCAGTACCTTCCAGGTAGGATGAACTACAAACCCTATCACTGCAACTGCTGAGGCTGAGTTACTGTGAGTTTTTCAGGCTGTATGAGATAGGAGACGGTAAAAAAGTCAAGTCCAACACATCAGAAAAATGCCAAGTGGGAAAAGGATGAGCAACTGAATTTTACAACAACACAAAACTCCAGAAACCAGTATTATCAAACTTTTTTGCAGGTTCAGAAAGGATCAGTCACAAAGTATGGGAACAAGAAAGCTACTTTAATTCGCCCATCTTCCTCAAATCTTTTTCTTTCCCAACCACAGTGACCATAATGCCCAATTAATTCTGTTTTTTAAATGTTCATAATCTAATTTTTAAAATACAAATCACATCTGCACAGTTTTATTATATACAACACAGTTGCAAAAGGTGGGGTGGAAGTCAGTGTTGCTTCACAGAATTAATAAATCCTAAAAATTCACAGAGACTTGCTCACCAGCAGTGCAATGCATTTTAATGATGAGAAAAGATCTTCCACTAATGGGAGGCAGTCTCACAATGCTGCTATCTGGGTGTATGTGTGTGTATGTATGTGAGAAACTGAGAGATCAGCATGAGAAGTACTGCATGCATTAAAGAATCAATTCCACTACCATGAAAATTCAATTCTGATTGCAGTCAATATTTTAAACATTTATAATGCATATAACAAGATGCTTACATGCTTTTAATGTCACTTGGGTCTCAATTATGCTTGGAGTTTCCACACTGTCCCACAACTCCCCTCTTCTAGTAAAACAGAATTATTATTCTGCTGTATTATTTTTTTGCCATCATTTCCTGTATTGCTGCCTATGTGTTCTGAAACATCAGCCTCAAAATATTGACATAAGTCTGTCAAACCCAACAAGCAGAGGTTGTGGTGGGAGGCTTACTATGTCAGCATCTTGATTTTGGCTCTTTAGCAGACTATCCAAGCCAAACTGGAAGCTGCGTCTCAGGCTGCATCTCAACATCTATGTAATTTTAGGATCCACAGCTTCTGACACAATAAACAAACAAACAAACAAATAAATAGGATTCACAGCTGTGGAACAAGACCAAGAAGAATATAGTCAAACACGGAACTTGGATTTCAAAAAAACTGATTTTAGTAAGTTCAGGGAATCACTGGGTTATATCCTCTGACAGGGTGGGAGTTCTTGAAGATTGTGTTTCAAAAAAGTAGTCACAAATAATTCCTGGACTGAAAAAGCCAATGTGGCTATATGGCAAACTCAAGGAGGTAGTGAAAAGAAGAAGTATGGATATAGAATGAAAGGACAAATGACCAAGGACAAATGTGTAGCCCAAGCTTCAGGTATAGTATATGGAAGGCTAGAGCTCAGAATGAGCTGGGACTGGCTAGGCAAGTGAAGAGCAGCAGCAACAACAACAGAATGTTTTCTAATGCATTTAAGGTAAGATAATAACTAAGGCAACAGTGGGGCTGCACAAAAGGATGCAAGTACATCAGCAAAATGCTAAAAGATCACAAGGAAAAGGCACAACTATCTAATACCTATTTTACTTTAGTCCCCACACATACATCAAAGATAACTGTGCGCTTCCATGCAATAGGAGAAACCTTGGCAAAGATCTGACTAGCAAATTAAAACTGAGAGCAATTTAGTCATGAATCCCCACCTAACAAACTTCAGATCTGCAGGGCCAGAAAGTTTCAAAGCAACTTGACACCATTTTTTAAAAAAAATCTTGGAGAACAGGTGAAATGCCAAAGGACTGGAGATAAGTAAACATTGTCCTTCTCTGCAAAAATAAAATAAAATAAGAGAAAGAGAGAGAAAGAGAAAGAGAGAGAGATCCAGAGACTACAGACGTAGGAGCCTAACCTAAACATCAGATAAGATATTCGAATAGATTATAGTTGTCTGCAGGTATGACAATGCAGTAATTGATAGACACCACCATGGGTTCATCAAGAACAAACTCTGCCAAACTAATTTTGTATCTTTTTTTTTCAATCAGACTGCTAGTTTAATAGATGGTGGGAATTATGTACATGTCATTTATCTGAATTTAAGCAGAACATTTGATAAGTTTCCTATTAATGTTTTGATTAGCAAACTAATTAAATGTATAATAGATGGGAACAGAGTCAGCTAGATTGATAAATGGTTGGAAAGCCATGCTCATAAGAGCAGTCATCAATGGCCACACTTCCAACTGGAAAGACATCTCAATTGGAGTGCCTC